TGAACGAATGCAGTTGAGTTCACTATTTAGTCTAGCCTATTTTTCTAATTCGTAAGCGGCTAATTGTATTAAATCTTGAAAACGTTTTTCAGGACTGTACAAGAAGTCAGATTTAATCGTAGAGCGTCTTGCGGTTAAATTAAAAATAAGGAAAAATTCGGGTAACAGACTGTGTCGTTACCTAGGGCTAGTAATTCTATAAGATAACGAGTTTTGATCCTAAAATTGATTAAACGAGTCGGTCGAGGGTGTAGACGGAACCGTAAACTAGAAACTTCTCTTAATTTATTTTATTTTATTTTTATATCCTTTGTTTAAATTTGATTTGTGTCATTAGGATTTTTAATTAGTTTAGTTTTTAAGCCAATCCCCCCCATTTTATTGCATTTATAAATTCAATTAATACGAGAAATTCACGATTTGATTCACACTCCTCGTGGGATCGACCCTTACTTGCCGCTACTACTAGTTAGTAAAGGTTACCTGAGGAAAAATATAAATTTTAATTTTGTCGCGTTGCGACGCGCGGTCAAATTTTTGGCGCCGTTGCCGGTCAAATATAAATTGAATTGTGATTTTTGAGTATTAATTGAGTTCTCTTTTTAGGATTTCTTTTTATTATCTTTTATCTCCCTTTTCTTTGTTTTATCAAGCTTGGCGCAACTTTTCGAGATGGCAGCCTATTATCACGACTTTTACACCCATCGTGCACCTTACTAGTATGAGAGGGAGATACGAGGCTCGTGGATCGGAGATCGAGGCGTAAGAGGACCTAGTGGTTGGCGAAGGGATGAGCAAGACTAATTCTATCCCGATGAGTATGAATACCGCTTGAGAGAGCACTCGAACTCTTTCTATGGATACTCCGAGCCATTAGTTGAGAGACATCCCAGCCCATCGCTTGAGGATATGATAGAGGCATTGACGTTAAACACGTTGAAATTTCGGCAAGAGTATTCCGAGCCATTTGTTGAGAGAGATCCTGGTCTGTCACTTGAGGATATGGTAAAGGAGTTGACGACTAACACTCTTAACTTTCAGCAGAGGGTCGAGGCAAGCATCAGGAGCCAAGAGACGAGCATCAAGAACCAAGGACTGCGCATAATAAATTTACAAAGCCAAATGAGCCAATTGGCAGAACAGATAGACCGACTAGCATATCGGCTCGAAACGAGTCAAATGAGTTCAAGCGTCACCCATTCATGCACCGAGGACCTCGAGGAACTTGAAGAGTGCACATATGAGCCGGAGAACGAAAAAATCATGAATATAGAGAAAACGAAGTCGAAACAGCCCAGTACGGAGGCAACCCATACTCAGCTTGCTGTACCCCATACTCGACCTGCTAGAGCCGAAAAGCATATCGTTCCCCCTGCTCTTGTGCCGATAGAAGCTGAACCTTGTTTAATACCTTCTAATATGAAGTGGGTGTTGAGCAAGGATGCACTAAATCATGCCTTAGGCCTTAAGATCTCTTCTCTTGAGACGATTGAGAAAAACGTAAGGCACAAATGCGAGTTTGATGAGATGGTAACCGTGATTGAGCACGGGCTGCTACAAATTCTTGAGGAATTAGCGTCATGGAGAAAAGATTCGTTGACGCACCCAACACCGGAAAGAAGAGATGTCGCCAAACATGGAGCCTTGAGATTTGTGCCTCCCTTGAGGCCACCTCCGAAGATGCCATGGATCCTTTGAAGAAAAGAGAGTAATAAGTCGGGCCAACGACAATAAAAAGAGGCGCTTGTTGGGAGGCAACCCAATGGTGTACATGGTTCGGCGACTTCTTCCTCATTGACTAAGGTGAACTCGTTTCTTGTACCTTCGTTTTTTTATTGTGTTCATCGGTGTTGATGATATATGCAAACTCTAAGTTTGGGGAGGTGGTTTCTTGGTGTGCATTCGTGATTTATTATGTTATTATATTTATGCCCCTTAGAGTTTGAGTCTTAGATTCTATTGCATGATATTTGTTTGTAGTGTGTGAGTATGAGTTAGCATGTACGTGAAATTTTGCGATGATGACATGAGAATCGGATTGGATTTATTGTGCTAGTTTAAATGTCTTGAGTTAATTTTATTTGGTTAAATTCTTAAGATGTTTTTAATTTGGGGACAAAGGCATGATGGTTGATATTTTTGTGATTCATTTGTGGTGAGTTGGTTTTGAGGCGATTTGTGTTGTTGATATGTCCTTGTAATTGCTTTAATCAATGTTGATTATGTTTGGGAACTCGTAGTTGAAAGTTGGGGTTTCTATGTCTCACAATCGAAAAAAAAAAGAGAATAATTAGGATGGAGGAATAATTGGTGGAGTTGAAAAGCCGTTGGCACAGGAAAAAAAAATTGAAAAAAGAGAGTCATGGGCTGCAACAGCTGCCAATATGTTGGGGTTCTAGTGTATAATTCCAATAATTTTCGTATCTAGACGAGCACGAAAGGCTAAAACCCACGTGTTGTGACGGAGCTGTCGTTCCCTGCTTAATAAAAATAGAAAATGGAGAATGAGACATTTAGACTTCGGCTTGAAATGGAAGGGAACTTGAGTTTTTAGCAAAGAGAGAGGTGTCATGAGTTGCATTAATCGATACATTCGTTATAGAGATTGTCAAACTATGGCGCTCGCTTGGATTGATACTTTATGTGTTTGAGTTCCTAGAATGATTTCATCTTGAGCCCGAATAAATTATTTGAGTTGTTTGAATTATGCACTTATGTGAGAATTGTGAGGCCCTGAGTAAAGTTCCACATACTTATCTTATGTCCATCTATTTGCTTACAGTTCTAAGTTGCTTGGGACAAGCAACGATTTAAGTTTGGGGAGATTTGATTGGTCTGAAAAAGTGTGTATTTTATATATTTATTAGTGTATTGTTATATGTTTAATTTTGTTTCACTTATATATTTTCGACTTATTTATTTATTAGATGGATTATAGTGCTTTGATATTTTTTTTATGTTTTATTTACAGGATATTAGAGTATTTTTATGGATGACGAGTTGTCGAAGGAAGATTGAAGCATATCGGTATGGGACATCCCATTGCTTACTAATTTCAGCCCATTAATGAAGAAAAAGCCCAAACAGGGAAGGGAATTGGTTGGAACATTGAAAGCCCAACATGTTGGTTATTTGACTTGGATTGGATTATGATATGGGCTTAGAAGGGTTTTAAGTGGTGACCCACTTTCATTAGCGAAGAGATTAAAATTGATAGGGTGCTGGAAGGATTTAATTGGAGACTTTGGCAGCCACTATTTAATTACTGAAGGAAGACTCACGCACGCATACCTGGGAGGGATTTAGTTGCGAAAGAAGCAGCCACGCACCAGAAAAAGAAAAGAGAATAAAGAAGCGGACAGAGGAAAAGAGAAACCCGATCAATCGCTGAGGTAAGCCGCACCCGTACACGAAAGGGGATCATTCATTCCCTTTCTTTTATTATTTATTATTATTATTATTATGTTAGAGTAGTTCTTTTATTCTAGTTCTGGGGAAGTCGAACCCTACGATTGACAATGTTTTGATTGATTTATATGGTTGATGATTTCAATATCTTTTTGGAATTGTTTTTGTTATTTTCAATAATTAACCATGATGTGTTGAGTCTTATTTAGATTGATTACCTAGATTAGGCTTTTCATATCTACAGCTGAATTAGACCTTCAATCCGTAATTGTTGTTGTGTTTAATTCATTAGAGGCTACCAGAAGATGGTAACTACCGGGTATAACACGGCCTATTTAAGTGAACGAATGCAGTTGAGTTCACTACTTAGTGTAGCCTATTTTTCTAATTCGTAAAGCGGCTAATTGTATTAAATCTTGAAAATGTTTTTTAGGACTGCACAAGAAGTCCGATTTAATCGTAGAGCGTCTCGCGGTTAAATTACAAATAAGGAAAAATTCGGGTAACAGACCGTGTCGATACCTAGGGCTAGTAATTCTATAAGATAGCGAGTTTTGATACTAAAATTGATTAGACGAGTCGGTTGAGGGTGTAGATGGAACCATGAACTAGAAACTTCTCTTAATTTATTTTATTTTATTTTTAGATCCTTTGTTTAGATTTCATTTGTTTCATTAGGATTTTTAATTAGTTTAGTTTTTAAACCAATCCCCCCATTTTATTGCTTTTATACATTCAATTGATACGAGAAATTCACGATTTGATTCACACTCCTCGTGAGATCGACCCTTACTTGCCGCTACAACTAGTTAGTAAAGGTTAGCTGAGGAAAAATATAAATTTTAATTTTGTCGCGTTGCCACGCGCGGTCACCTGGCAGTAAATCGACGAAGCTTCATCTGCTATCAGGTTCAGACTTCACAAAGATTTTTAAGGGAAGTTTATTTTAAATTACTTGGATTATTATCTATTACTTCGCTTATTGGTTATTACTTATACATGCTTTATTATGGCAGGTCAAATGAAATGGGATCGTGATGCACATTCCATATATGACTACCTACCAATATGCGCGAGATCAGATCAAGCAACCTGGACTTTCCATAATATGACATGACTTGGCTGGGAAGCTAGAGAAAGAACTTACCGTATGAAGGACGAGGATAAAAGAACTACGAGAACACTTTAAGGAGCACTTTTTTTTACATTCTCTCTTTCTTGAAAAGATAGTTTTATGTATCAGGCTTCTGTGATTTATTTTCTTTGAGTGATTTTTGTAAGTGATGGCGATCATTGTTGAGAGGAAAAATACAGAGTGTTCGGAGGTTCATTTTGTTTTTAGTTTGAGGGATTCAAACGTGAAACACCACAAGGGATTTGTGATCGGATAAGTAGTAGTGCAATTCATTGTTCAAGTAGAGTATAGAGGGAGTCTATACTGTAAACCCTTGAAGAATGAGCGAGTTGATTGCATTAATAAAAGAGATCCGAAAGGAGAGTGTGACGCTCTCCTAAAAGTTCAAATTTGGTTATACTGCTTCCGCAATTTAATTGATCTTCGTTTTATTCTATTTTGCTTAATTGTGTGTGACTCTGAATACTTGGGATACAAGTATCAAACTTCAAAAACAATCCCACAAAATAAATGGGGGCAGTATGGAGAAAATGTAACTCATCTATATACATCAAGTGAATACGTTTCGTCTTCATAAAAAAACCAGCCAAGGAGCACCTTTTGGCTGACATATCCTTCAAACTCAATGATATTGGAATCTTTACAGACAGACATTTACTCAAAAGAAATCAAGAAAATATTAAGGGAGAAAAAATATAAAAATAAAAAACCAAAATAAGAAAAGAAAATGCAGCTCATCAAGAATTAACGACCTCGTAGGAATATGAAAGCCAAGGGTGCCGTAGTGCCTCCCGAGCTGTTAGCCGTCTCTTTGGATTGATCTCGAGCAGGCATTTCAAAAACTCAATGAAACAAGAATCTGAAACATCTAAGTGATGCTGTAATGATGTCTCATCAGGGACAATATACTCCAGCTTGTCCGTGTCCTATTGCAAAATAAGGAAAAGGTGTGTGTAACAACATTGGATAAAAGGTTTGCAGTTTCTCAGTAAATATTCCTACTGAAGAATACAATATGTAAATATAAACAAATTATTACAGAGCTGCTTGTAAATTTTAGTAGATAGTTGGATAAGTCGTAGCTAAACTCACGGATATTTTGTTTGATTCAAGCCTTTATCAGCATAATAATGCACTTCAACGAAAAATAAGATTCCAAATTTAATATTGTAATAAATGTTGTATCAGGTCATACACGAAGCGATGTGTAAAAAATATTCGATCAGAGGTCAAATTTAGAAACTACATGCAGAAAAATCAAACTAAGATACAAGATCTTACCGCGTTTATATAATACAGATCATATTCTTTGGTAAAGTACTTGTGTGTCTCTTGGCCCTGTTGGAGCATCTCCATGTCAATTGGGCCAAGCACACCTATCATGCGCGCAAGAATCATTACAATTGCCTCATTTGGAAAGAGCACCTGCAATATATAAACACAAATCACCAGACATTTGAATGCTAACAAATAGAAATAATATCTGTTAAAATGTACAAGAATGAATTTAGCAGTGGACCAGTAATCTACATTTAGAAATGGATAAGTAATCCGTGTAGCTAAAGCCATCTACCAAATAATTTCACTTCCTAGATAACAAAAAAACTCATTCGTCAATTTTATGATTTTTTATCTTTTTGGAAACAGAAAAAGATAAATTAAAGCCCAAGATTCTTGAAATGACAGTAACATCCCATTATGGTTTTCTGTGCTATAATCTACCCTCTTCATAACCAAAAAGAATTTCAAACATCCCCTTGCATTCACTACAATACCACAGTTCACCTTAACTTAAAATGGAATCAAACTTTGAGGTGCTTCTTTAGTAATTCTGAAAACGTTCTAGATTTTCTGTGATTAGCTCAAACTTCAGGGTTCCTTTTCTATTTATCTATATCTTATTAATAATGTGTAGGAGAACACTCCATTATTTAATATATACCTCGCCACTACACAACTCCGCCAAAATGCACCCAAGCGACCACAAGTCAATCTTCTGGTCATATGGAAGGCCCAACATAACCTCAGGAGCTCTGTAAGAACGGGATTGCACATACAAAGATAGGTTGTCTGCTTGAAAGCAACTGCTACCGAGATCTATAACTTTTATCTCACATTTTCTATAACTTTTGATCAGAATATTTTCCGGCTTTAGATCACAATGAATGATTCCCAGGTCATGCAGGTATGATAGAGCCTCCAAACACTGCCGGGTTATGATCTACAACGAATAAGTTCTGACAGTATCTCAGTATCCAAAAAAAAAAATCAATTAATATTTGTCTTTAGCTTTTTTTTTATTGTTTTGTTTTTGGGAGAAGTAGAGAAAAAAGAAGTTCAGGAGATAAAAAAGAACAATGAAAAAAGGACCTGCAGTCTGTGCAATGTAAAATATGGCTCCCCACCGGATTCTTGGTTGTATTTCTGAAATTCGTACAAGTTTGCTCTCAAAAGTTCAGTGACGATAAATAGATGTTCCTGCAACAAGATTTGGAACGAAAACAAGATTAATGGAGATGTAGTGAATTATATCAAACAATTTATATTGGTTCCGCATGATAAAATTAAATGTGTGCCATAATTCTATGTTGTAGAAGCATTAATNTATTTACGAGTATTTATTCATGCTCATCCATCTGATACGACATGCATGACACAAGAATCTACGATAATAGATCTGGAACATTTTGCATTTTTACCCTATGGCGTCAATCTTAGAGAAAATACCAAATCAAACCTCACGCTTTAATTTATTCAGCACCACAAGAAATTGGAAACTGAATAAAAGCCGATAACTAAGGTCCAACCATCCACTACGAAAGTAAATCAATCAAATTAGTAAAACACTAAGCTCCCTCTCTCTCTCATACCTGGCAGTAAAAATAATCATAAAGACGTAAAATATGACTTCCATCAGCGGGATCATGCTTGTTCACAAACTTCAGAAGCTTGATCTCATCCAAGCTCTGATCGAAAAAGTCTTTGTCGTTTTTTATGATCTTCAAGCAAACATCCATGCCAAGGCAAAGGTCATGGGCCTGGACAACCTTACTAAAAGCAGCAGATCCTAAGAATTCTGTGACATAATATCGACCGGCTATGATACTGTTCATCACGATTGGGAAATCCTTGTTCTCTTCGAATCCTGTTCTGTGAAGTGCATAACCAAATGAATACAAACTGAGTATGTTATTACAAATCATTCAATCTGGAAAAGGTGAACACAAAAAACTCAAGATTCTATCATTTAGTGAACAATGGAAAATCAAACGGCTACTAACTTGTTTAGAGAAACCGACATGCCTTCCTGAAAGCAAAATACATTCATTTTTTAGTTTATTGCAAGGGATATCAGGTAAATATGTCGTAGAAATGATTATAATTATGTTAGTAGAGTCAAACCAGAAGAAGAATTAGATTGAAAGAAGATTCTAACTATATTAACCAAAACAAGAAGCATAAGATGACAATTGAAAACACATAAAATACTTTCTAATGAATTTCCCACCCCAAGAAGCAAAAACTACAATCACATTTTCTTGTATCTCTTTCCTTTTTTCCTTCTAAATTTTTTCCTTTATGGCTAAGGAGGATACTGAAGTAGTAAGAACAATAACTTACAAACCTGTTTTTCCTGTGAATAATCCTTAGATTGAATATTTCAAAATCATCTTCCTTAGAATCACACATTGATACACCATCCTCTTCGTTTAGCACAACTTGAGGCTCATTGGATTCCCCCGCAATAACCTCATCATATACCATCTCATGGTTTTCGTTCTCATTTTTCTCATCGCTTTTCTTATCCTCACAAAATTCATCCATATCATCAAAATTACCTCCAATCCAATCGTGCGAACCATTTGCGCTTACACAATTTTCGTTGACATCTTCGGTTTTAAGATCCATGAAGTTATACTCGGCACGATCTGTATATACTTGAGTACCCTTATCACAACAAGCACAAAGAGTAGCCGAACAAGCATAATCCGAGAATAGATGTTCGTGTTTTTGCTCATTTCCCTCGAGTACAAAAAGTCGACCCAGCTCATAATAATCTTCACAAGCCTTGTGTTTTGGGTTTTCCTCCTCAACAGTTGTGATGTACTTGTCCTCGGCGTAAAAATCATCGTCTTTCTCCTTGTACCAGAAGAGGTCGTTTTGCATATCAAAATCCAGGTAGTTTCGAGCCGTGCCAAACTGGGATAGCCTGTCGGATGATGACTGGGAGGACGGCCGAATACCATATGGATTTGTAAATTCTGGGTAAATTAAAAGACAATGCAAATGTTGGTTTGAAAATGGATAAATTGAGGGGAAATGAAAAGAAGAAATTTTCCACCGATTTGGGCATAATTCCCTCAGTTTAGACTTTAGAGACGAAACTGGGATTGGCCTGGCTGTAATTAATTAACCTTGATCAAAAAAATTCAGAACCTCATATTCATTACTGATTCATGGCTTCCCTTTTTTACCAATAGGAACTTTCTTTCAATAAAACCTTAATTCTTGCTTTCGGGACAGAATTTTCATACATACTCAGTTTTCAACACACAAAGTTGACCAAATTCGGAAAGAAATAAAAATAACAAAATTACCGGAACAGCACAATTCAGTGGTAGAAGAGCCGGCGGGACTCACGAACTCATCATCGGAAAAACTCTTGGAGCTCTCACCGCCGCCGCCTTCACGAAGCTCAGGTAGCCGGCGGGACGAGGGAATCCTCAGCGGCGGCGCCGGCGCCATGGGGAAGAAGAATTTCTCGAATTCAGAAGAAGCGAGTTGGGATTTTTCCATGATGTCCTCCGTGAGAGCCGATTCGCTCTCCGACAGACCATTCTTCCTCAGGAATTCCAAAACTGCCTCCAATTCAACCTCCGCCATGTGACGAACACACACAGAGACAGAGAGAGATTTGAGTTTGATGTTCAGGTTGAGTTCAGGAGAGATGAGAAAAGAAGAAAAGGTGAAGAAATAGCAGAGGTGGTTTCATGGTGTCTGAGAGACCAACAGTGGGACTACTCTGCTTATTGCTTCATTTTGATCGATCACTTTTGAATATTAACGTGTAGACTGTAGGGTTAGAGTATCCATATTTGCTTTTCGTTTTTTTCACTTCTGGCGTGTGCAGTAAAATAGAAGCCAAAAAATCTATTACCAACTTTGAGAAAAACCAAAAGGGGGAAGGAGTTTATCAGGTGGGCCCGGAACACGTGGCAGGGTATATTGCCTGCTGGGAGGCATCGATGTAATCTAGGTCGGTTNNNNCTTGTAATATACGAAGATAAAATGGTATTTACTTGAAATAGTAATTTAAAATTATTTAGATTTCGTCTAAAAATTTAAAAATACTAAAGTTAGTAATTTTTTCTAAAACCTTTCAGAATACCCGCTTAAATGTGTTTTGAAAATTTTTGAAAAAAAATATTAAATCTAAATATTTAAAGGAAACAATCACACATAGATCTTTTTGGGATGCATTCCATCTTATCTTAACATACATATAATTACATCACTAACAAACTCTTCATTATCTTTTAGGAAACAATCACGTTTTTTCCCTTTTCCTTTCCTTCCCAGCGGCTGCCATTTGTAGCGTCCTCGGCAACATGCGTTGGCCGGTTTTTTGGTAGCTTCATGAGGTTGTCAAATATGGCCGTGTCAGTTTGAGCAGCTCATGTTGGTGAGAATTGGTCGATGATGCTGCTTGCGATTGTTTTTCTTGTCCCCAGACGAGCGGCCTGCTGAAATTTTCGGCGTGAGGCTGAAATTTGCTCGGCCTAGGGCCAATGGAGATTAGAAGCCTAAGCAGCCAGAACTCCGGTTGGAGCGACTACACGAGGCTGTTCGCGACCAGGCTTCGGTTAGAGGGGCTATTAACTGGGATTTTGAGCAGACGGACTGGTGAGGAGCTGGACGCCACGGGATCGGTTTTTGCTCGAAGGATGCCAGGACGAACTTAACGGGACATGGTAATTGGCACTCTCGGATGTGGGACGACGACTTGTGTTTGCGCAAGGATTTTGGTCGTCGAACATGATATACGCGTTTTTCGGGAAATTGAAGGACATAGCGTCTGAAGGCATGCTGAGAACGGCTAACATTTTTCGGTCGTGACGGAAGCTTGTAGGACGGTGAAGGTGGATTGTAACTCCCCGCCTACTATTACTAAAATTAGAGTAAATTTTTCGCGCTTTATAATTTGAAAACATCGATTCAATTTTCGAAAACTCATATTAACTTTTCGGAAAACTCTTTATCTTTATCTTGCGGGATGTTCCTAACTACTTCATCTCTTATCTTTTTATCTCTTTATCTCTTTAAAACTATCACGTATGCAGCCAAGTAAAATTCATTCTAGATTAAGGTGCCATGAAAATACCGGAATTAAAACATGCATAGTTAAGTCTCATAATCTGAAATAAGCCTGAAAGTGCAGAAGCATACTTAGTTCGAAATCACAAACAAGCATACTTAAATCAACATGTTCTAATACATGACAAGACATGCTTCTCGAGAATATCCTTAAGCTTATGACCACCACCACATCTAGCTCACGCTCTACGCGGGACTCCTTCACTTGAAAATGGTAAGTGACGGGCGTGAGCAATATAATCCACATGCTATGCCGAAATCGGCACTGAATACTCATTACATCTAATAACAAATCATGACATCAGCATATATATAAATAAATTAGATAACTGGGACTACCGGACTCTCCGGTACTCATGTGCACACTCTGGGAGTCCCTTCGCATAGAAATCCTAGAAAGGCATGCTCACCCCATCTGGACGCTAGACTTAGGACGGGCCCTAATCACCACACATTTTCCTATATCTTGACCTATGACGGGATCACTCATCCATCTCGGTCACAATTTACTCACGCATATACTTCATACAGGATAAGAAATTAAAAGCAATGTAATACACAGTACAGGGTCCCTACCTGGTAGCTGGTGAAATGCAAATGCTGGAAATAGATGTGTAGCAGGCGGAGGCTCGACTCTCCTCAAGCTACAAAATATTTGAGCAAAAATATTCTAAGTACTAGGCTCAATCTGAAAAACTTGATTCGTAATCACTGATCTTACTAGGTTCGCTCGCTGGATTTTAAAATCATTTAAAACTCATTTTAGAAAATTACGAGCAAATTTGAAAATTATTGTCTTGAGGCTTTCTAGAGTTCTCAAAAATATTTCAAAGTTCAGAACTATATTCTGACTTGATCTAAATCTGACTTGGTTCGGAAAGATACTCAAATCTCGGTTCACGCTCAAACCGATATTCCAAACTGAAAACTCCCGAACTATCCGGACTGCCAGGACTGGTTCAGCTGAATTGGAAGCTTCTCGAACCATCCTGACTGCCCAGGACGATTCGGCTGGATTGGACCAGAGGCTCGCTCAGAACTGACCGGTCGCTCGTTGGGTAAGTGCAGCTCGGCTCAGCCATGGTCCGAGTTCAGCGTAGCAACTCACGGGTAAAGAGAAACACGGCTGACATGGCTTTGCCGACGCACGGGCTTTAACGGTGCCACGACCACTAGTGCAGGAGCGTTCTTGGACCATGGCTATTCGAACACGACGTGTAGACGAGTAGGTTGGACAGACGCAGGGGCGTTGGGCAGAGTGCAGGGGCGCGACTCGGTCGGACTCGGTGCACGGGCACGCACTTGGTGACTCGGCTCCAATGATAGGACGAGAGTGGGACATGTGAGGGACTTTGGTACGCATGTGGATGCACTCCGGCTGGTTGGCTATGCTCGCTACGAGGCACACGGCCGGTGGCCTTCTTAGGCGCGGTTGCGGTCTCACCGGCGACTCGCCTGCCAGCCGACCACATCTCAGGCAACCCAAGGACTCAGTAATGCTATGAAGTCTAGAGTCATTTATATGCTACTAGGGTCGGGCGATTATGCTACTAGGGTTCGGGCGATGACAAGGTGTTGGAAAACGGGCAAGACTAGGGTACTAGTGTAACACCCCGTTTTATTTTAAGGAATTTGCGAATTTATTTAATGAAAATCAGAGTATTATTTTTTTTTATTTTTTTTAAAATCCAAGTTAAAACATTTATCGAGAAACGGGCGCTACTTACTAACCACAACGAACAAATAAAAGCACCAAATCAATCAATCGACAGAACCTACACATGCTCGAGCTATCAAAATAATAATCTTCATAATCATAAATTTCAAAACCATTCCCAAACGAATAGCATGAAAGCAAGGTTCAAAAATATTCAACATAGTTCGAAAATGACGAAACAAATAATCCAAAGTACGATAGCAAATAAATAAATATCAAGTTTATGCGGAAGCATAGGTTTTCAACACATAATGACCACCATCTCGCTCGTCCTACGCCACCGCCTCCAGCTCGTCTCAACCTAGAACAAAGGAAGAGAGAAAACAACAAGAAAATAATGGGGGTGAGCAACCAACTAGCTCACCATTATCGCACAATTATCTCGTATAATTATTTTAAAGAGCAGTATCACGGTAAACCAATAACAGTATCCGTATGCATAGAATTCATAGCCTAAACCCCCTACCCGGCCCTATCGCAAACCTCCTATGTACATACAACAACCTTCCGACCAAACATCGGCAAGGCCGTAACTGGAAAATTTCCCCCACCCCGAACTACTCACGGATCATGGGAGTCCACCCCGAACTACTCACGGATCATGGATGTTTTCCAGGAGACAGTGGAGATGTTTTTCCCCCCCGAAACTCACACGGATCAGGGCGTCTCCTTCCGGATACAACGGGCAGGTGACCTCTCACTGTTATGCATTCGTCAAAGGCACTATCGTTTGGGACACTTAGACTAGAGTTCTCATGCATACAATAATTTTCAAAAGAAACATTACACGAAATAAGAAGTGCGATAAATATGGAATACATCATAAATGTACCCACCTGATAGCAGCAACAGTTCACAGTCACAAATCCCGAAATGAGGCAAGGTCAACACCTCTAGACACCTACATTATGTCAAGATCCTACAATCAATATCTATCTTGACTTAAATCGGAAATCACAAGACAGACCTAGTCGAACTTTGTTTCGACTAAGTAGTTCGTGAAGTCCTGTGGATGTTGGAACACTAAGACTCGGCACTAAACTCGACCAAACCACATAAGGGAGTTCACATAAATCCATCCAAGGATTGACCAAGTCAAACTCACATCAAAACGAAAAAGCAAGTCGATTCCCAATTTTCATATAAAAGTCATGTTTCGAAAATAGCAATCATTAATCGCATGAAAAATAGATGGTCAAGCTACTCTACGACTTAGGCTCTGAAAATTTACACAAAATTACATCTCCCAGAAACATGTAAAACCACAAATTTTCAGCTTCAAACTCGAAATACACTATTTTATAAAATTCGAACAAGATATCGACAAAAAGGGATCATCAATTCATACTTGAACTTAATGAACGAATCAGAACTTGAAAATTTTACACCACAACATACAGCATGTTAAAGTCCAAAGGAGATCAAAAAAAGCGAAGTTCGGATACCTCCTCCTAATCTCGACCTCCTTCTCCCAAGTCGCCTCGGACTCATCGTGTCGGCTCCACAGCACCTTCACCAAACTCACTGCCGGGTTCCTCAGCTGATGGACCCTCTGGTCCAGTACGGCAACCGACACCTCCTCATAGGTGAAGTCTCGCTCGACCTGTAGCTCGCCGAAGTCCACCACATGGTCGGGGTCATGTATATATCTACGCAGCATGGAGACATGATGCACCCCTGACATGGTCGGGGTCATGTACACATCATGCACCCCTGACAAGTCCGGTGGTAAGGCTAACCGATACGCCAAGTTCCCGACTCGAGCTAGGATCTCGAAGGGTCCGATATAGCGAGGACGAAGCTTCCCCTTCTTCCCGAAGCGAATCACACCCTTCATGGGCGAGACCTTCAGAAAGACGTGATCAGCAACAGCATACTCGTGCTCTTGCCGCTTCCGATCGGCATACACCTTCTGCCTCTCCTGGGCAGACCGAATATGCTTTCGGATCGCCTCAACAGCTTCCGAAGTCCTACGAATGAACTCCGGACCCATAATCTTCCTCTCTCCGACCTCATCCCAATACAAAGGTG